TATCAGTAAGCAGAATGCAAATTCTTATCCAGTTCCTGAATCTATATCGAACTTACTGAAAAATTATACATCAGTATACATAATTTTTCCAAATTCTGTGAAGCACTTTACAACTCAAGTGAGAGAGAAAGCAAGAGAGATCTGTGCAAAAATCCATATATTAGGAAAAGGTGCGCATTTAAAACCACTATATTAAAGATAATTATTTCCAAATATTTTGTACATTAAGACATGTACAAAAATGCATGTGAAACTTTTACATATGCAAATTTTATGCACTCTTCATTGCAAACAAATTCAGAAAAGAGACCAGATAAAGTTACAGATGGAAAAATAGGATTATGTACATAAACAAACTTGACAATTTGTCTACTTTGAGTGATACTGGGGATGGTATATCTTTTTAATTGGGTGTTCATATGAGGTGCTTTCATTCCAATAATAGAAGCTGTGGAAACACAGAATACCTTTATCTTTGCATGATTTCTGTGTTATAAGCCTTGGAATTAATAATACGTGGCATAGGGACAAAAATAATTTTCTCCGCTGTGAGATAATGGTTAGCAACTACTGTTAGGGGAAAAAAATCTTTCACAAACTAATAGAGTTTTTTAGGAATCTGTAAATCACAGAAGGTTCACATAAATAGGAGCAGCATTTTATTTGGTAGATATGGAAGTTCCCTACAGAATTACTGGGTAGATTCTCAAAAGACATTACATTAGAGTAAACCATGTGTGGCCCTTAAGTTCCCTTCTGGCATCCCTCAGAGCCTTCTCTGATCAAGACCGTTGAAAACATCCCATATAGAGGTGGGCAGCACATGAAAAAGACGAGTAAACTATATAGTATAATATGTATGTCACAGCTAATCTAAACTGAAATATCCCCATGTGACAGATATGTGTGCGATGTGAGCTTGGCAAATTTGGAAACTTTGGCACCTGTAAAAGGTTATGTGGCCCTCTTGATAACGGATAATCAGAGTTGGAAGGGACCTTATAGGTCATCTAGTTCAACCCCCTGCCCAAGCGGGAGACCCAACACCATTTCTGACAAATGGAAGTCCAATCTCTTCTTGAACTTCTCAAGTGATGGCACTCCCACAACTTCCGAGGGCAAGTTGTTCCATTGATCGATTGTTCTGTCAGAAAGTTTCTCCTTATTTCCAGGTTAAATCTCTCCTTGTTCAATTTCCATCCATTATTCCTTGTCTGGCCTACAGGCACTTTAGAAAATAGCTTGACCCCTTCCTCCCTGTGGCAGCCCCTCAAATATTGGAAGACTGCTATCATGTCTCCCCTTGGTCCTTCTCTTCATTAGACTAGCCATGCCCAGTTCCTGTAACCATTCTTTATATGTTTTAGTCCCCAGTCCCCTAATCGTCCTGGTTGCTCTTCTCTGTACTTTTTCTAGAGTCTCAACATATTTTTATAGTGTGGTGACCAAAATTGGATGCAGTATTCTAGGTGTGGTCTTACTAAAGCTTTATAGAGTGGTATTAGTACCTCACTTGATCTCGATTGTATCCCTCTGTTAATGCAACTTAGGATTGCATTAGCTTTTTTGGCTGTTGCTGCACACTGCTGGCTCACATTTAACTGGTTGTTCACTAAGACTCCAAGATCCCTCCCACAGTTACTGCTATTGAGCCTGGTTTCACTCAGTCTATATGTATACTTTTGGTTTTTCTTGCCTAAGTGTAGGACTTTACTTTTCTCTACATTGAATTTCAACTATTAAATGGTGGTCATCCTTAGAGTAAGTGTCTATTTTGCTGTTCATAAAAGGAGTCTATGACTTTATTAAGAAAGAAGAAAATATTGTCTGAGGTGGTTACTTGCCTCACTGATTTTTGTATGATGTTAAAATGTAAGGTATTTTACCATTCTGTTTATTTTGCAAAATGCCATTAGATTGTGAAAGTTTTCTTAAAATGAATTATTCTTCTTGATGTGAAATTAATTTTCAAAAAAAATTATTAATGGATAATGAAAAACCATATTATTCAAAAAGCTTTCATGAGGCCGTGTTGGGGGAAAAGCAATTATATGTTCACCACATTTGTTATAGCTTTTGATAATGAGACTCATTAGTGGGAATCATAATTGTTAGGTTTACAAATGGAGACTGTAGTTTTGTTACACTTTTACTAAATTCCTTTATTGATTAAATTGGACTATGTAATATTGATTCTGTTCACACATAAGACTATGTGAACAGTAAACCAAGATTTTTCAAAAACTATGATTTCTTAACCTATAATGACCTAGTTGCACACAGCATATCACTCATAATAAGTGGGTTAGCAAATCATGTTGAGGCAAAAGGTAACAAACCATGTTATGTCTAAGCATTATTTATTCTTCCAATTTAGCTTATCAAGAGTTTATTTACAATAATATGTAGTTAGATCATTTTATGTCCTGTATTAAGTCTATAAGTAGAACTATTGTTAAATATTACTGACAATATGAGACTGCAGATATTATTACAGTATTATAAAAATAAGAACTGTAAATAATTCTCTCAGTAATGGAGTAATCATTCTTAAATCTGTAATTCATTTGTCTGCCTTAGCTCTAGTCACCTTTTTTAGTGTGGGCTAACACCCTACTGGTAATTATTATGATTTATAAAAGTTATTTCTGGACTGCTTGTATTTTTGTCCTTAGATACTTCCATGTAATTCCTGAAACTTTAATTCTGGGTTTTCAGGGGAGCAGCAAGGTTATGCCACTGATGCAACATCAGATGACTGGAAACATTACATTTGGTATATTTCTGCCTTCTGAGGAACAAGAGCATGGTTGGAGGCCTGAGCTGTAGGCAGGCCAAAGCAATTTAGAGGAAGGTTACACAATAAGCAATTAACAGGAAAATGACTGGCAGAAAAAAAGGCAGGTAAGGCAAGGCAGTATTTCTCAGCCAGGGCAGCTTGAAGATGTGTTGACTTCAATTTCAACTCAAGAAGGCAACTAGAGCCGCACATCTTTAAGTGGCTGAGATTGCACTGAGATAAGGGAAGCTAAGGTAAGATACATTGAACAGTGAGGCAATATATCAAATTTTAAATAAGGATTCACAGAGAAACTAAAGGCAGATTATAAAGGTGTAGAAAAAATAGGTCTTTGAAAATGCAGTACAAAATGGCATGCCAGATAACAGCCTTTTTTATGCCAAAACCTGCCAGAGGAACAATCCTGTGGAATATTTCAAAAGTATTCAGAACTTTCATTCCTCACTGGATTTTCCCCCCCAGAAAGTTCAACAATTCTTAAAATGGCCCATTTAAAAAAATAGCAAAAATTTGCATCTGGGAAAACAAAGTGATTGCTGGTAGAGTTGGGTAACATAAGGAAGAAGTCTATGTTTTCTTTATGCAAATAAATAAATAAATCCAAACATTTGGTGTATATTATGCCCTTTACCATATTTATATTGTAAATAGGTTAAGATGTGCAGAAATTATGAAAGCAGAAACCCAGTTGCGGGGTGTTTTTTTAAAATTTTTTACTGGCATGATATATGATTAAGACAGTCTGCAACTACCTTCTTCACTTTTGCATAATACATGCATTCTAAACCCGAATCCCAAGGATTTTAGCAGAGGAAGTCAATGTATGGCTTTAATATGAAAGAAATTGATAACCCTTAGGTATGTACATTTCTTGATATATAGGTCAACATACTTGTGTCCTGTCAGTTGTGAAAAGATATCTGGAGCACCTCATAGCATCATAGTGTATAACAGATCTCTCTTCTTTTAAGACATGAAGTTTCATAAAACTCAACATAAGGAACCAGAGTGCTGGTGTGACTTAGCTTTGAACGCTCAGTCTGGAATCCTTATATATGAATAAAGAGAGTTAAAATTCAAGGTTTAGAAACAGCTTTATCATATGATAAAGAAGGATTAGATATGATTAATTTGTTTATGATCATATTAATTAGTATATGAAACAGGCAGATAGAAAGCAAAGCAAAGCAGAAATAGGAGGTTAAACAACTGTATTAAAACCAAAGAGAACTCCCATAGATATATTGATGCTCCTCTAAACAGGATATAACAAAAGTAAAAATGAGAAAAAGTTTCAGAACATATCAAGATGACTGTAACATGAAACACCATGAATGGACATATGGAATGTAACATGACAATAGACGCAGGAACAATAGAAAACATGCAAAATGAAGTTCCTCTGACCTGTGACCTCTGACCTGATCATTACCTCCTGCTTTTCCAATTAAATAAAAACTGAAGTAAGAAAGACAACATGTGAAGTTTCTCAGATTTCACGTAAGTCTAATGCGGTCATCAAAAGTTCTGTGCTTTATTCTACAGTAAATAGTTTACCAAGTTTGAGTTTCAGTAGATTTACTCCAATTGGTTAATTTCATTTGGTTAATTTCTCATTTTGACATTTTTTTTAAAGAAAAAGAATCTGTATTTCTCAAGTAAATGTATTATATTTCCAAGCAATTCTAATACAAAATGGCTTTATTATTACATCCTTGAAAATTCTATATTTTGTCAGTCCATATGGAAATTAGCCAAATTTTTTTTTAGCAAAAGTGATTTCATTTTGACATTACAAGGCTGTAATAAACCAAATAGTGAAACTAACTATCAGCAACAGTGCAGAATGCGCCTAAGATAATTGGCCCATTCTGGAACTGTTGGTCTTTGCATTCGACACTATTTGGATAAAGCTATGCTTTTATGCAGTGGAAAAATTATATTTAAATTACTGTAGTGCATTTTAAACTGCCCAGCATATAAAATAATTGCAAATCATGCAGCCATTGATGTATTTCTATGGATTTTTGCTTAGCCTTTACCAGAGCTATAGTCTTCATGCAAATTTTGTAGCTGGACATGCTTGTGAGGGGAATCTAGCTTTCAAATGCTAGGCAGGGAATAGGGGAGACTGTCAAAGGTCAAGCAGGACTCAGAAAGATGAGGAAAGACTACCGACCAGCCATCTGTTTCTCCTTACTCCTTCTCTTTTTCTCCAGGCGTTTGAGCCTCTTCTCTTCCCGTCTCTTGGCTTCTTCTTCTTCCTGATGCTGACGACATTTATGGAAATTCTCCACCACGACCCCAACAAACATATTGAGCACAAAGAAGGCAACAATCAGCAGGAAGGAGATAAAGTAGAGGAGCATCCAAGGGTTATAGTTCATGACTGGCTATAAAATAAAGGGAGAAGCCATTACACGCTATGTTGAACTACGCTGCCTATGGTTAGACTTAAGCGTAGCACACAAAATTATCTGCTACAATGTCCTACCAGTCAATGACTACTTCAGCTTCAATCACAACAATACAAGAGCACACAACAGATACAAACTCAATATAAACTGCTTCAAACTTGATTGCAGAAAGTACGACTTCAGCAACAGAGTGGTCAATGCCTGGAATGCACTACCTGACTCTGTTGTTACATCCTCTAACCCCCACTCCTTTAACCTCAAACTAACCACTATTGACCTCACCCCATTCCTAAGAGGTCTGTAAGGGGCGTGCATAAGTGCACCATCGTGCCTCCCATCCCTGTCCTATTGTCCCCATTTATTCGTACCTATTTCCTGTATTCTTACTCATGTTTATTACTTTTATCTATTATCTTGTAAGCGATTGACAAATCAAATAAATAAATAAATAGGATTAGAATTTTACAATGTCCATGATAAATTTAGGAACTCCAAATATTTGTATTTCACATATTTATTTTTTTTAAGTCTCTAAAACAAGCACGCCTATTTCTTGGGCTTCTGACAATGTGATACAAAAACACCTACCTGCTGGTCTACCCCTACAGCATCCAATCCATCGTACATGATGTCCACCCACCCATCTTTAGACGCCAGAACAAATAAAGACATTAAAGCCTAGAAAAACAAATGGAAACCAAGCATGTTAGCTAAGAGGAAAAACAATATAATATGTATCGTATTCTACCTGCCTCTTGACTCATGTTTGAATTTGTACTTTTTTTTTCAACCTAGTTGATAATAATAAGCCAAAGCTTCTTGCCAGGAAAAAGATATCAAGTACTGATCTGACATGGAGGGTTATTCCAACAAACAGGAACAGCCTTACCTCTAACCTTCACCTATTTGTACTTAATGCTTATTATACTGCTCAAATATGATTTCCTGGGATAATAGTAAATACATTTATTTAGAAGATTTATCTAGTCATCCAGTTTCTCTCAGTGGCTCTGGGTAGCTTACAAAGAATAAAAACCCAATATAAAAGAATAAAAAAACTCCCCACCCACCCCTGGTGACAACACACAATCAAACATGCCAGTTGATGGGCTCCATCCCACTCTGAGTTCCTTAGGCAATTGGCAAAACCAGGTCTTCAGGACCTTATGAAAGTGTGTCAGAGGGGGGGGGGGGGGGGGGGGGAGTCTAATCTCTGCAGGGATGATATTCCAAAGGGAGGGAGCTACCAGAGAGAATGCCCTTCTTCTGGATCCTGTCAGTTGTACCTCCTTAGGAGATTGGGCCTGCACCATTCCTTGCCTCCCCACTCTACTGGGTTGGGTGGAATTAACCAGGAAGAGATGCTCCCTTAGATAACCTGGTCCCAAGCCATGAGGGGCTTTAAAGGTAACAACCAACTTCTTGAATTGCACCCAGAAGCAAATCGGCAGCCAATTGTAACTCCCACAGGAGAGGTGACACATGTGCATACCTGAGCCTGCACAAAACCATGTGGGTCACTGCATTTTGAACCAATTGGAGCTCCTGGATACTTTTCAAGAACAGCCCCATGTAGAACCCACTGCAATAGTCAAGATGGGACTGAGGTAGTAGATATGTGGGGGTTCATGGTTTCAGTCTTCTGAGACAAACTTTTCTTCATGATAGATACAAGTTTGATTAGAGTATTGTACAGCCATTAAATGTCCAAAGAAAGAGTGTGGGCTAGTCTTAATTGTGATAGGAATGTATACCAACTGAGGATCTTTAAATGTAGACAGTCTGACTAGGAAGTGCTGTAGATGATTTGTTATGGTGGCTGCAACAAGGCTATTTCACATCTGCTTTGAATCAAAGCAAATAAGGGAGCACTGCAGCAGATTACTATTTCATCAGTACCTGGCCAAGATTATCAAAATTATACTTGTGCCGGATCCATTTATAGTTGGCTTCTGCACAGTCTGACTTGTTGGTAATGTTCCTTGTGTCTTCGCCTTGGCAGACAAAAAACTTCCCCTTGAACAGCTGTGAAAAAGGAGAGAATACTCAGTCACTGAAATAATATGGGGAGGTCTTTTTCTGTAGTCTTCCACAGTGCACCATTTGCAAATGTCTGATTTTAAGGTTCTTCCTACAGAGAGGCCCATCTGCATCTCACTTGAGCTTTTGGCATTAGCCCCAAAGCTTTTAGCCATCCAATTTTATGGAAGGAATACTGTAGCATTGCAGTTTTTAAGCTGCTGCTATTCTTGATTTATACAGGTTTTGCTGTATAATTATGGCATTATACATTTTATTCTTTGCTGGTTTTCAAAAACATAGTAATGATTTAGAGTGAGCCCATCCTATTTCACTAAAAGGTAGCATTAAAATACTTACAATAAATGAACAAAGTAAATTTTTCATTAAAGAGGTCATGGCCGAACCTTTCCAAACTTGGAATCCCCTTGATAATGATAGAAACTTAGCTCTTGTACAATCTGCAGGGCTATACAAAACAAGGTGTACAATGCCCTTGTAGGGTGGGGGATTGAAATATGGCAAATATATTTGAAAACCAGGCATTATCTGAAGATTCCAGTCAATGCAACTTCTGGTATGCTGTAAAGTTTTTCAAGAATATTATCCCTTTGCCAATAGAACTTTGACATTCTGTTAAATAACCATTTGAAGGCGACACAATGCTAGGATACATATACTTTCATCCTATTTATTACAAGTATTTATCCCATATCTTGCCTAGGGATTACCCTCTATGCTAATTTATGTTCCAGGTGAAATTTGCAGTTCAGCCTTAATGGATACTTTAACACAAATAAACATAAAGACAATCCATAGTTGGCTAGAGGCAGTGGGTAAGATGGTTATTAAAAGACTTGGGCATCCCTCCCCTCTTTTAATGATTATATTTTTTCCTGAGGTTATCTATCTACCCTGGGAGCTGCCAAGCAGGACATGAGGGCACTAGCAGTTTTCTGCCCTTGCCTCTTAGCAATTGGTATTGCCTTAAAAACTGGTGCTAAAATATAGCTCTCATGATCAGTAGCAGCTAAAAAGCTTATTATCTCTTCTTTGGTCTGTAAGAATGGTAGAAACTGTATGTCAATGGCCTTATTAGTCTAGCTGTGAAGGCCATGAGGGAAATAATAAGAGACTAGGTTTACAATAGATGGTGGTGTAGACATTCTTGAGGGAGAAGCATTTATCTCTCACCTTGAAAGAGGCAATGGTGTGCCTCCTTCTTAAGAAACTATCACCTGACCCAGCTATTTTATCCAACTATTCCCTGGCTCTAACTTTATATTTTTAGACAGTACACTATAGGAAAGGTTTTGAAAGGTGATCAGCATAAGGTTATACTGTAGATTATTAAGACTTTGTTAGGATTTATGCTCAACTGGGATGGAAATCAGAGTGTTCGCCCTGTTGGATGACCTTCAGCAGGACTGGGGTGGAGAGTGTGGCTGGATCTTTTCTGAATCCCTTGGTAGCTTTAAATCATTACCTTCAAATATGCTCTCCTTCTGGACCAAGTGAGAGGACTAGGAGTGGAAGACACTGTGTTGAAGTAGTTCCCCCCTTTTCCCTAAAAGAAAAAGTCATCTGGGATTGGATCATCCCTACCCTGTTGGACTTCCAACAAGGAAATCATTAGGGATGATGGAGATCTTAGATGGCACAGTTAGTGAATGTTTTTGTGAGATTACAACGGTTTTAATCTTGTTGTTGCTCAATGTAAACTGCTCGAAAACAAAGGGAACTGAGTGGCGTAGAAATGATAGTAAATGAATATAACAGATAAATTATATATTCAAGGTCATCCCCCCATTTTAGAGGGATTTTATTTCAACTATTGTTGGAAAAATCCTGGAATTTACTTTTTTTAAAAAGTGAAAATATTTGCATTTTGCCTCTCCTTAGATTTATGGTGTATACAAAGTACTTAATTAAACCCTTAAGACAGCCACAATGTATGTTCTTTAAAAAATGTAGACATTAATTCACTAAGAACCGCAAGAAGATCAAAGTAGAAATTAAATTCATGAGTTCAGCTATCAAAACCTGTTCAGACAAATAGAACTTAAGACTCTTTTTTCTCCCAAAATTTCAGCAAGGGGAAAAAACTGATGCGCCATTTCCAAAAGGAGACACCAAAGCCTCAACCATAATATTGATGAAGCTGTGATTTTTTCTGACTGCTACCAGGACTGAAGCTAAGGAAGGCAAGCTAGCTGAACAACAGCCATGTATAAAGAGAGTGGCTTCCTTTTTTAACTGGAGATTAATCCTACTTAAATAAACATGATGTACTAGCTGCTAGGTTAAATAAGAGACAAGAGTGCACATCTGAAAAAGTGACACAGGAGAGAGTTTAGAAAAGTGCTTCTTCTCCTACTTGAACATAGACCTCAGCTGAAATTCTTCATAGAGATAGCAGACAAAGTACCGGCATCACTTTGTGTTGAATCAAGTCAAACAACCCTTAAGTCTTGACTTCAACCATGTCAGATGTGATTATCAGCTAGGAGAAAACTATAAAAATCCGAGAGGATTAATTTTGTCACATATTCAGTTGCAAACATGAAGTGGCAGAGCATGACAGTTATTATGATAGATAGAACAGAGTGACCTGTATTAGCCTAAGCTGAGATGCCTTCACTTTTTTATTGAGTGACAATGGGTCCTAGCATGGTCATGCCTTGTTTCCTGTGGCAAGGGACTATTCTCACCAGCTTTTAAAATATCACCTCTTTATCTGAACTCTAGAATAAATGTCAAACCTGTGAGCAGTCCAAATAGTAGGGATGAGCACACACTGACAGATCTCACATAAGATGGCATTTTGTTTTATTTTACCTAGGAGAACTAACTGGGTGGTAGCAGCATAGAAAGCACCAACAGTGGGTGAGTTCCCTTAATCATAGTTGGGCACTAATTCTACTTTCTTAACTAAACTCCTTCAAACCAAACCAAACTAACCAAATTCTTATCACAGTGTCTATGACACTAATTTGCTGTTGTTTAGTCTACAGCACAGGTCTTCAAACCTGGCAACTTTAATATTTGTGGACTTCAACTCCCAGAATTCACCAGCCAGCTATGTTAGCTGCAGAATTCTGGGAGTTGAAGTCCACAAGTCTTAAAGTTGCCAAGTTTGGAGACCCCTGGTCTACAGCAATGGAAGATAAGACAGAACCCAAGAATCAACATATTTAGAAAGAGTTCCAAGCAAGGAATAGAATGTTCAATAGACAATTCTTATGTTTGGAAAGTGGGACTGATTGATTGACTGATTACATGCTATCAAGATTGTGCAACTCTTCAAGATCACATCAGTAGACTTTCTCCAGAATGATCTGTCCCTATCCTGATCTTCCTGGTTTCCTAATGGTAGACCCATTGCCACTTTAATAGAGTTACTCCTTCTTGCTGATGATCATTATTCCACCTTCCACCATTGTGAAATTCTCAAGGGATTTGAATCTGTACATAATGTGTCCAAAATATGATAACTTGCCCCTTGTTTGAGAACACTAGAATGAAATATTCAACCATTTGTTTGTTATCTCCAAAGTCTTGTCCAACATCAGAGTTCAAAATCATTAATATTCTTTCTATCTTGCTTTTTCAAAGTCCAATTTTTGCTTTCATAGTATATCATCAGGAAACCACTAGAAGACTTGAAGGACCAGGCTCGGGACCAATGTTCCTGTAGAAAATCTATGAGATCACTAAAAGTTGACACTAATTTGATGGAATTTAATCAAATCATCATGTATATTATCAATTTTAAGATTGGTTGTTGTATGCTGTCAGTTTGATCTTGTGATTGAAATGTTCAATGCCAGCACACTTCAATCTGATAATGCCTAAAATGTCAATATGTATGGCAGAACATTTTGTCTTTTACTATGCTGAATTATTCCATCCTCATGCTTCTTACATTCTATGTTTCCACTGTAATTCTGTCCTTGCAGCTCTTTTCGTGTGTGCATTACATCAGCAATTAAATGTCCAGATGGCTTTAATCTGGCTGTGTCATAAACACCATTAGTACTTCAAAAGCTCCTCAAGTCTTCCTAAGTAACATGTTGGGTATCATCTGACCTGATGGGCGTATCATTTGGCACTATATTATCAATAATTTTATATGATCTATCTATGTTATTTTCTTGGTAAAATATAGGACTGTTTTATCTTTTCCTGCACTGTTTGAAATAACACCTTTGCCATTGTTAAAGTGATCATTCAACGCCTTCCCTACACAGGTGAGCTTTAACTGGTGAGCTGGTGTGACCTTGATATCTTGAGTGATACTGTGACACATGACATGAAAGCCAGCTGGGTGATCTTAAGCCGACTGTTTCTTAGCTCTATTCACTTCACAGGGTTGTTGTTGTGTGGAAAAAAAGAGGAGGAAAGTGTGTTGGATATGTTTGTCACCTTGAGCTAATTGGAATACAAACAAATAAACAAACATCCTTGGTGTATATTCCCTGCAGTCTTTACTCATCCTGCCCAGGAGCTTCTGTCCCCATCAAAAGGCAGCATAGCAGGACTTGGGAAGGAAGAAATGGCACTAAATATGGATAAATATAAGGCTTACAAATGCTGAATATGAGCTCTGGTTTAGTTGCAAGGATAAAACTGATGTAACAAATTATGTATCAGTACATTTCTCCATAAATAATATATGAAGAGAACAGATGGGCACATTATTAGGTTACTATGAATCTTACAATCAATTAAAAAACAAACTACTGGCATTATAAAAAATGTGGAATGAGCTTAAGTTTCAGTTGTTTTCATTCCAAGTTTTGATTGGCTTACAAAGAATGCTCATCCAAATTATTATATTTAATAATGCTATTGTTTTTTTTTCCTACAGAGATCATTTATTCATCTAAGAGGAGGAGAGCCCTGAACTTCTTGCAAAATAGTAGATAGAAAAAAAATGAAATCCCTGCACAATATCTTTCTTGTTAATCTAGTATGTCAAATATAATATATTTGATATAAATAATACAACAAATATAAATGATACAACAGTGGTGGGACTTATCTCGGGGGGGGGGATGAGTCTGCCTTCCAAGATGAGGTGGACTGGTTGCTTTCGTGGTGTGGAAACAATAACTTGATCCTCAACACCAATAAGACCAAGGAGCTCATAGTGGATTATAGAAGGAACAGATCAGACATCCAGCCCTTGCTTATCAATGGAGACCGAGTGGAGCAAGTGGCCAGTTTTAAGTTTCTGGGTGTTACCCTAAAAGAGGACCTGACCTGGGGTGCCCACATTGCAGCACTGATCAAAAGGGCCCAGCAGAGATTATACTACCTGAGACTTCTCAGAAAACAACAACTGAATGAAAAACTGCTGGTGACCTTCTACCACTGCACCACAGAGAGCATTTTAACTTACTGCACCTCTGTATGGTTTGCCAATTGCACAGTGGCAGATAGGAAAGCAATCCAGAGGGTTAATGTCATTGCCCAGAAGATCATTGGTTGCCCTCTCCCCTCTTTGGAAGAGCTTTATAGCTCCTGCTGCCTTATGAAAGTTCAAAACATTCTCAAAGATCCATCTCATCCTGGGAACCCTTTTTTTTTTGAACTATTACCATCTGGCAGACGGTACAGAATAATAAAAACAAGGACAAATAGGCTGAAAAACAGCTTCTATCCCAGGGCAGTAGCTCTTTTGAATTCTGCTGTATAGTGCAATGTTGGTTTGGTGTCGGGGTTTTTTGGTTCAATGTGTGAAGAGAGAAGGATGTGTGTTTGTGTTTATTTTCATGGTCATGGTCATGATGTGCACTGAAGGTGGTGTTTGCTTTCATTGTACGAGGTGCAATGACGATAAAGTAAACTAAACTAAACTAAAAATCTTGCTGAAACCAATGAGGATTCCCATGCTAACTGTGCACTGATGTATGGGTATGTATGCATGTATATAAATAAACAGAAGAAATTGATGATGAAAAAGGGAAGGGAAGAGAAAAAATTGGCATCAATGAGAACCATTGCACAATCATGCAGAGTAACATAAGTACTCTCACCACAGGCATGCATAGTGCCAAAATCTTATAATTTTGTAAAATCTTTGAAGATTTTGATAATCTCAACGTGAAGAATTTAAACTCATGAGCATGCTGAAATCTTGCACATGCTTTTCTGAAATCTTTTAAGATATCATGGGAGGACATAGAAACCTCCTAAGAGTTGGTGATCTCTTGAAATGTTGCCCATTCTAAACATGGTTTAATTTGGGGGCTCTACAGACTTCATATATGAATGTCACAAGTGCTACTTTGCTTTCCCTGCATTATATGCCCACTGTTGTGATCCAGTGTTTTATACTGATCTCTAAAAAGGATTCTGTATGAAGCAGCTCTAGAACACTGAAGTATGGACTTATTTCCTTCTTTCTTAGCTGCGTCAGCACTTGTAGACTCATGAGAGACATCAATATTAGAAAAGACTGGTGTGTATGAAATTCTCAAACCTTCTGCGCTGAAAGAATGAAGTAAAGTTCTCCAGGAACTCTACCCAGAACCTACCTGGACTCCCAAGATGCCAAAAATGATGAAAAAAGCACAGCAAATCACAACAATATTTCCAATGGGTTTCAGGGAGGACATCAGGGTTTCCACAACCAACTTCAGCCCTTGTGCCCGACTGATGACCCTGAAAGGCAAAAGTGGCTTATTAATAGAATCCTAAGACATGAGACTAGCAAACCACATGGAAGAAAGCCTTCAAATTGTTCACAAAGGACTAATTGATACATAGAAGGGGAAACATGGAATTGCCAATGTGCCAATAAGAGAGTTCCTTTGACCAACACCTATTCTGTTCAATAGACTTCAGTTAAACCCAAGAGAGGAAAACTCTGTATTTTAGGCAATACATTTATCCAACAATGATAATCACTACAGCAGGCTAAATGTGAAGCACGGGGTTATCACTTTACAATGGTTTAGAATGGCTGTATTTCTTCTTAATGTCTGTTGTGGTTTTTTACTTTTCCTCTATGCCACAAAAACTTTATTTTATTGAATTACAATAATTCCTGTAGGAGTCTGTACCAAATAATGTCTTGCTGGCTGGGGATTCTAGGAGCTGAAGTCCATACATCTTAAGGTGGTTGAATTTGAAAAACACTTACTTAAAAGTATTTGCTATCATAAATGGAATGAATATTGTAGAACATCTGACTTCTCAGGTTGTAGCCTTGAGATGATTTTTAGGAAAAGCAGCTCATGTAATGTAGTAGTGGAGATGTTGGACTAGAGAAACCCATCTTCAGCTACGAAAACCCACAGGGTGACACTGACCAACCACCAGCAATCAGTTGAAGCTATCCACACAGGACTGTTGTGAGTTAAAATTGGAGGAGGGAATACTGTCCTTGTTGAACAACTGAAGGGAAGGCAGGATATAAATCTGTTTGTCTATCTGATTCCCTAGCTCCGCTTTGAAGAGCAGATAGGACAGTGGCAAAACACCCAAAGTAACTGGATTGCAGGGTAATATAATAACTTTTCAGCTGTAGACATTTCTAAACAGTTGAATTTACAGATTTTGCCAGATGCTGACCTAAAAAAAGACATTTTGCCCACAGGCATTTTTAAACAATATAATCTAGAGATTGTTAAGAGCAACACATGCAACTTATATTCTTTCCCCTTAAGGCTACTGCCAAGAAAAATGTCAAAATTTGAGGAAAATTCTATATCAAAGGACAAAAATTGCAGGCAGTAGCCTAATATATTTCAAATAGTGGAGAACCTCCTTAGATTTATTTTATTTTTGATGTGTCTCTGTAATGGGATGTGGGAATTACCTTGGGAGATAGAAGGAAGAGCCACAGCCTGGACCAGGAGTCGCCAACTTTTTGGACCTCAGGGACCACCAAACTCATAATTTTAGATCCCAGGGACTACTAACCTGTTCTGTGGGCATAGCCTAATTTGTGGGTGTGCCTTGGTGGTCATGTGACTGGCTGGGCATGGCTTGTATGAAAACATTATAAATATTTATATAAATATTGAATTTTTTATAAAAACAGAGCAACTTTTACCCAAAATCAGGCAAAGCAGGCAGGCAGATTGAGTTGCTCACAGAATCACAGATTCATTCAGAGCTCTATCTATCTGCCATTGGCTAGCTCAGTCTGTCACATAAAATTTGCTTGCAAGCAAACTCATAAAATTTGTTGGCAAGCAAACTCACAAAATTAACTCACAACACACCATGCATGTAAATATTGAATTTTTTATAAAAAAAGGAGCAATTTTTACCCAAAATTAGGCAAAACAGGCAGATTGAGTTGCTCACAGAATCATTCAGTGATCTAACTGCCATCGGCTAGCTCAGTCTCTCAAATTTGCTTGCCGTGAGTCTGCACTGAATTTGCTTGCAAGCAAACCTTCAGTCCTAAGGGAGGTTCGGCTGTGCTGAGCTGAAGATATAAAGACTAGCTAGAAAGCAAGAAATCCAACCATTTCCTGCTTCCTAGCTATTCTAAATCTCCCGGCACAGCAGAACAGTTGATGGTCGGAAAAATGAAAAATAGCAATTTAGCAGGCAAGTTTACCGGGTAAGGAGTGAGTGGGTGGGGAGGGTTCCCGCGGGCCATGTAGGCGGCTCAGCCTTGTGTTTCTGCGCAGCCTGGATTAATTGCTTTGGGGGGTTGCTCTGGGGGTGAGATTTCTCTGCGGCCCACCAAAATTTTATCACAGCCCACCAGTGGGCCACAGCCCACTGGTTGGCGACTGCTGGCCTAGACAATGATGTGGCAAGAGAAATCTGAGTCCAAAGAAAGGAAAGGGCTGGAAAAGGTGACTCAGAAGGGACCCTTCCTATTATCTGGGAAGTAAAGGCAGGGGAGGTGGGAGAAACACTTTCAGACTTCCAGGATTCTGTTACTACAATCTGTTACTCATGGTTTGGGTTTCCAGTCTGGTTGTCCCAAAGGTGCTTTTTCAAGAGGCAACTGGACTTTCTGGTTTTTCTTTGAAGATGTTTTGCTTTTTGGATGAGGAGTGAAACATCTTCAAAGAAAAACCAAAAAGTCCAGATGCCTTTGGAAAAAGCACCTTTGGGACAACCATGACCTGGATGACTGAGAATCTCCAGAGATGTTTCCAGTCTGAATGACCTTGGAGTGCTGACGGTCTATATATTTCAGCTCAGTTTCCTATAATGTGGACTGTCATATCTCTTCTCTTCAGCAAAACTGAATAATCAAATGAAATTTTCACAACCATAGTTTTACTAGTACCCTCGATGGCAAGTTAAACAGTAACCTGCTTGTCAACATGGACAAGTTTAGCTTCATATTCATATTATAAAGCACAATTCAACAAGTCCCTTCTTTCCTGTGTACAAAAGTTTATTTTTGCCAAAAGTTGGACTAAATGATTACAATCTAACCACTATCACTAGTGGTTTCCTATTTTGGATTTCTGAGCATTGCTGCCCATTAAGAGAAATCTCTTTCCATTGCTTAGTTTGCTCCTTTTCCAAAGCTCTAATAATGCATATTTTTTCTACATTTCGTTTCTCATTAAAAGCTGAAATTAATATAATGTCATCCTTTCTTGTCATTATTTGCATTCCCAGGAAAACAGACTTTGGCTGATCTCACTAGAAGGACTTCCTTAATTTAATTGACCTCAAATGCTTTCATGCTCGCATAGTTGTGGTGTGACATTATTTCACCTAAATATGTAGCAGCATTAATCAAACCAGATTTATATTTTCAGCACCGTTTGTTAATTCTGATTTTATTTTGGCTGACCCATTACCTGCTGTATTAGCCTTTAACATTGGGTAAATGTCCTTTAGAATTACTATTTCAAGATTTCTGAGTCAAACATATTTGTAGGAACATATTTGGGCAAAAGATCCTGTCGTTTTTGTTAAGTTTGGAGAATAATGGAGACCAGACATCTGACCAGTGACTTCAACTCTTTAATAACAGTAGATAGAACAGAACAGAGCAAGGCTATGGGCAGCAGTAACCCTTTTATAGGGTTGGCTGCTACCTTATTAACCAATAATATGTGCAACAAGTTCAACTAATACCCAATAAGAAGTGTCCTAATATTGGCCAATCAGGGACTTGTTATGGACCAATCCTTGTTCGTTGTTTAAGGACCAATCAGGTGTGCAGGCTTTCAAAACCCGCTTTGCATTTGGGCTTAGTTACTTTTTATTGATTCACAACAGTTTTTTTTCCAAGCAAAATTACGAAAACCTATAATTATTAAATACACAACAGGATATTCCGTCCTTCCTTCTTTATGCACCAATATACCCAACTGCATATTTTAACAGTGATGCTACAAATCACTATTGTGAATATGCTTCCATATGTGCAATAATGAATTCCATATCCCTAAAGTAAATCTGGATGGGTCATACTTAGCTTCAGAATAGATCAAACATACTTAGTTTCAGAAAGGTCATTCAGCTCCTGTGAGTACAAGAGTGTTGTATGAAGCTACCTGAATACTTAATCACATCATTGGCTCCTCTTACTCAATTCTTGGGAAGTTTCAACATACAGTTTAGCGTGACTTGAATAAATTGAAACAAGCTTCAGGCTTGAATGCTCTTCTCTTCTCTTTCCATGCAAATGTGAACATTTCATTCCTTTTTATATATTTGAAGTTTGTTCTATTACCCGAGCTAATGGACGACAACAAAGTATAATTGATGGACATTAAAAAATCTATGTTTAATGTAAATGAGAGCCAAAACATTTTGAAGTCTTCTTTATAGCCATACTGAAAAACAGAAAGTCCACATTCCAGACCAGTAGCTTAGAATGATTTAAAGACAGGATATTCAGTGGTGGGATTCAATTTTTTTTACTACCAGTTCTGTGGGCGTGGCTTAGTGGGCATGGCTTGGCTTGGTGGGTGTGGCAGGGGGAGAATACTGAAAAATCCCATTCCCTCCCCACCCCACTAACTTGCTTTCCAGCTCCGTTCTCCTATGTAGGGCAACAAAAGAAGAGCCAGCTGATCAGCTGGAACTCAGGAGGCAGAGAATAGATGGGGGCAGGGCCAGTCAGAGGTGGTATTTGTCAGTTTTCCGAACTACTCAAAATTTCTACGGTTCTCCAGAACTGGTCAGAACCTGCTGAATACCACCTCTGGGATGGTTGCTATATCACCGATTCTTAAAGTATTTATTTATTACATCCCAAGTTTATTATTTTTACAAATAACTCAAAGCAGTGACCGTATCCAACATATCTTCCTCCTCCATCTTTTTCCCCATAACAACAACACTGTGAGGTAGATTGAGGTGAGATAGAGTGACTGGCCCAAAGCTGGCTTACATGGCTAAGGTGGGACTTGAACTCACTGTCTCCAGCTTTCTAGACTGGTGTGTTAACCACTAGACAATTCATTTCTTTAGGCCTTTCCTGAACCTGGGTCATTTTCCAGGCAAAGCTGAAGCCTTCTCCTCAGAAACAGCAGAGAACAATATCACAGAAATTCAGATTCCACCTTCTATCTCTTTATAGGACTATCAAAAGTCACTTTGCATTCTCCATGGGGATGAATATAGATGAATTCTAATTTTATACATTTTACAAGTCAATCTCCAAAAATGAATAAAATTCCTCATATCCTTTCACAAGTCTCCCCCCCCCTTTTATTTACAGA